AGCCCTCACAATCGATCGCCCTGCAGAGGGTGGCTTGGGCCTCCCTCTTTGGAGTGATCACAGAGCCCCCCTATTGATCGCCCCCCAGCCGGTGGCCTGGGCCTCCTTCTTTGGGGTGATCACAGAGCCCCCCTATTGATCGCCTCACTGGCTGGTGTCCTGGGCCTCCCTCTATGGGGCAATTGTGGGGCGATAGTGAACTCCCTAACCAATCATATCGCACCCACCTTGGCTGGCCTGGTGCCAGTGCGTGTCATAGCGTGGTTGTCCCAAAGGTTGTCTGGATGGTCTTTCTGCTATTCAGTCGTTTGGTCGATTTGCATATTAAGCTTTTATTATTATAGATATCTTTCCTGACTTCTCAGATAACCAGACTCAAATCTGATGTACAATAGTAATGATCTCATACTAGTATTTTTGCATGTCCCCCCTGAATCTTTTTGTTTTCATAATGGTTTTTAATTTTTCTCTCACTTTGTTTAATAGCTCTCTAAATATTTTTGAAGGTGGGTTTGATATAAACACTACTAAAATGAGTGATTAACAAATACTGAAGTTAGCAGAAATCTTACTGGTTTACATTCTGTGAAGTAAAAAGAAAAGAAAGAATAATGCTTCTATTTTTAGCATAGCAGACTTTTATTAGATTGAAGTTTAGACTCAAATTCAATTCTACTTTTTCTTATGACCTTATATTGTCTTTAGTGTTTAAAAGTCACAAAATATGTTTATTTACATCATATTTGGCCTTTACAAAATTGTGTGGTTATCCACAATTCTAATGTTGCACTCCTCTTAAGAGAGGGGCAGTTTTATTGCATTGTCTTAGATCAGTGACTTTCCATCTTTTTCATTTCATGGCACACATACACTAATTAGTAAAAATCTGCAGTACACCACAAAATATATTATGTTTTTTGCTGATCTGCCCCCCCCCCAAAGGTATAATTTTGATTTATTCACACCTGTGGCTGTTGTTGTGTTGGCTGTTGTCATTTTTTTTATTTAAGGTAAAAAAGGTTAGTGACCCTGACTAAATAGTCACGTATTCATATTTTAAAAAAATTTTGTGGCATACCAATGTCTTAGATTATTCTTAAGGAACTGAAAACTTAATCTTTTAAGATGTCAAGAAGACTACATCCTATCCTCTTTTGCCCTCCAGCACCTGCAACACAAACATCATCACAGAAAGATTTGTGGGTGTCATTGATATGGTCACCTCACCTCTAACATTTCACTTGGGAAAGAAACCTGGACAGGATGCCTGAACCATGGCATCCTTTAGACTTAACTTCAAGAGAATCTAGGTGAGCCTCTGGTGGCCAACCTGTAATGTGACAGGTCTCAGATGGAATAAAGGTTCCCCACCCTAACTCAGGGTTGGTGTGAGAAGTAAGATTATTGGTCTCATTATGGTCAGATCTCACCAAAAAAGAGAAAATATACTAAATATTAAATAGATGGGCAGTAAATAGATTAAAATAATTACCTACGCATTTGTTTAAATAAATGCAAAACTGGGTTCAGTATCTGATTTAGGTGAAGAAAATTGCCAGAGAAAGTTTTTATGGAGAGAGCAGACCCTTACAGGAGCAGTCAGAAGGTTGGAGCTCTAGATATTTATGTTTCTTTATGACACACACACACCAGTCATTGTCCTTTTCAAAGGAAAAACAAGGCCACCTTTTCAATAAAGTGTAGTGCTACACATCTTGTCACTTTTTGAAGCCCTTGGAATGTAGGGCCTGAAATAATAGGTTTGATCCTTAATGGTTCATCAGTGAAAGCCTCAAGCTAAACTTTTTCAAAGAGGCAGCACAGCATGAAAAGGTGAGTAAGGATTCATTTAGGAATACACTTGAAAGGTGGTGGGCTGTCAAAGGTAACATTGCACCTGAGGAGCAGTAGAAAGGCAAGGGGCATGGGAAGAGCCACTGCAGAACACCCTGCAGCGATGCTGGTCCTGAGGGAGAGCGAAGTGCGAACAGCTGACTCCAGGAGGGGAGAGCCTGAAATGGGGACAGAGGAGGCCCTGCCAAGGAAACAGTAGATAGCCAAGCGAAGGGTGGAAAAGGGAAACTTGCTTTGGAGGATAAGAGAGTGGGCAGGAGGTCATACCGCTTGGCAAAGGAAGTAGTGATATTACTGGTCATGAGGTAGGAGAATAGCTAACCTCTGGGGATTGATTTATACTATAAAATGTGCTTGCCTATTAAAACATTATCTTAATATTATTTACAATATCACTTGGCACTTTTATCTATTTTGACTCTCAGTCCACTGATCTTTTTTTGTTACATTATGTCAAGATATCTATTAAGCCGGAAGAAGGTATTAGATTTGGGTACATGAATTATTGCTGCTAAGAATGATTTAATGATGTAAATCAAGGAGACAGATAAGATGATTCTAGAAAGAAGTGAAAATATCAATAGATCATTAAAAATTTATTACAATAACATAATAATAAACTTATTATTCTGAAGCTCTTTATTGCAAAACACAATGGAAAGTGAGTTTATATTTGATCCTTTATTTTTGATTCATTGACATTTTATATGGTAAATTTACATAATAAATTCTGGTATGCAAAATTATATCACCCACTAAATATTAGACCACTTTGTAAAAAGAAGTCTTGAATAAAATTTACAACGTATTATGATTCAAAACACTCCCATTTTATGAGATATAATCAAAGGCTGAAAATTTGAAGTATCTTTTAAAACATTATGAAGTTATAGATCAGGGTCTGCCAGTCTCCTCAAATTAATCATAAATGCTTATAATTTTCATCTTATCTGCATATATAGAGTTATAAGTTAGAATTATGTCTAATTATGCATAATTTTCCTGCATATTTTAAAGTATTACTTTTGCCAAACAAAATCCACAGTCGGATGGCTTTACAGGATACTTTTTAATATCTTAGTAAAACAAACAGACAAAAATGAGCACTAACGACAGTGTGCCACCACACTAGAAGAACTAACTGTACTGAAAGGATATTTCAGGTTGAAATATTTGAAAAGTACATTACAAGCAACAACAGAAACCCTTCTTATATCAACAATGCCACTCCTCTTGATGATTTTGCTGATTCTACCCCCGTAGCTAGGGGAGAGTTGATTCCCCCTTTTTTAGGTGATAAAGTGCACATTGTAGTGGAAGGCTTTGAAAACTGCTGACATTTGAACCTATTGTGTTGTTGTATGATGATGAAATTCCAGGCTTTAAAACCAAAATCACAGAAATGGCAAGATTAACAGTGGAGTGTAATGACAGATTTCATTATCTTTTTTTTTTTTTTTTAATGAGAAACTCATGTCCAAAAGTGGGTGGCCTGGAAAAATACAAGGAACTGACAGCAGTTGTTTAAGTTAAGAGATCCTCACCTAAAACCTTTACGTGTTGTTGCATAAAAGTACCTGGATTCATTTCTGGTCACATACTATGTTACAAGATTGGGTTAATTTGTAAAACTCAAAATTTGATTTCCTTAACTTGATCTTGAATTCTTAGAAGAAAGGTGGAATATTGAACGAAGGCTTTTAATCTGGGAAAGGACAGGTTATAATTTTGGAACATTCTCTCTGACAATTGTCTAGAAGATTGGCAAAGTCAGGTTGGATCCAGAGAAACCAGTTAGCAACTTCTGCAGTATTCAGGCAAGAAAGCTCAAAACAACAACAATCAAACAAAACAAAGACAAATCACGTCATTGGTTATGAATATGGAGAAGAAAATATTAATGTATAAAACACTAAGGAGGGACATCTACAAAATAACTAACTGTTCAAAAGTCTAAGTTATAAAATTAAGGAAAAACTGAGGTCTATCTTAGACTGAAGGAGACTAAAGAGACATGACAAATAAATTTAACAAATTGCTTTTTCTATAAATGATGTTACTGGGGCCCAGCTGGTGTGACTTAGTGGTTGAGTGTCCACCTATGAACTAGGAGGTCACTAGGAGGTCCCCAACAGGGCACATGTCCAGATTGTGGGTTTGATCCCCAGTGGGGGGCATGAAGGAGGCAGCTGATCAATGATTCTCTCTCATCATTGATATTTCTATCTCTCCCTCTCCCTTCCTGTATGAAATTAATAATATATATATGTATATTAAAAATATGTTATTGGGGCCAATGGTGAAATTTAAAAGGATCTGAAGATTAAAAGGTAGTGATATATCTATATTAATTGATATTATTTTTTAGGAAATGCACACTAGGGGGTATTGAACAATTAGGTCAGCAATTTAATCTCAAATAAGACAGGGAAAAAACTGTACTGTAATTATAATTTTCTGTAAGTTTGAGGCTTTTACTTTTTGAATAAGGAAGCTTTATTATTTTCTCAATAACAGTACACATTGAGTATTACTTTGCATTAGTTTCAGGTATACAGCATCGTGGTTAGACAATCATATACTTTACAAAGTGCTCCCCCATTATTTCCAGTACCCACCTGGCATCACACATAGTTATTACAATACTAGAGGCCCAGTGCAAGAAATCGTGCACTAGGTGGGATCCCTTGGCCTGGCTGGTGATCAGGGCCAATCGGGGGCTGTGAGAGGTTGGTTGTGGGAGTTCGCTGCCCACCAGGAGGCAGCTTCTGCATTGAGCATCTGCCCCTTGGTGGTCAGTGGACAGCATAACGACTGGTCAACTGATCGTTCAGTTGTTCGGTCGTTTGGTCGCTTAGGCTTTTATATATATAGATTATTGACTCTATTTTCTATGCTCTACTTTACATCCTCATGACTATTTTGTAACTACCAATCTGTACTTTTCAATTCCTTCACCTTTCACCCAGTTTCCTATCCCTCCTTTCCTCTGGCAACCTGCTCTCTTTATCTATGCGTCTGTTTCTGTTTTATTTATTTGGTTATATTGTTATTTAAATTCCACATATAAGTTAAACCATATGTTGTAGCCAACTCAACTTGGGCTCTAATGGAGGGAGGGTGGCTCAGAATGGACTAGGGGTCTGCCAGGAGAGACTGGGTTATACTGCTCCAGGGATAGAGCTGACGGTACAGCCACCAGGGTCCCTGCACTGAGTTTGTCTCCCATGCCACTCACAAAGGATGCAGGCCAGCACTCCCCTCCACACAGTGCCAGCCTGGTTAAATGCACCAGCCCCACCCTTCTGGCTCCTTGTCCTCTGCTTCCCTCATGCCCTTCGGAGGAAGCAGCTGCCTGGGCCCATGGTTGAAAGGTCTGGGGTATCAGAGACTGAGTTGTGTGCTCTGAGGTGGGGGTCATTCCCCACTTTCCATGAGATTGATGAAAAATTATTAAAATTATTTGTCTTTGCAATTACACTGTAAATATCTACAGGAGTGGGCAAATATAGATTTACAGCTGTGAATACAGGAAACAGTTTTTCGGGGGCTGTGAGAGGTTGGTTGTGGGAGTTCGCTGCCCACCAGGAGGCAGCTTCTGCATTGAGCATCTGCCCCTTGGTGGTCAGTGGACAGCATAGCGACTGGTCAACTGATCGTTCAGTTGTTCGGTCGTTTGGTCGCTTAGGCTTTTATATATATAGATTATTGACTCTATTTCCTAAATGCACCAGCCCCACCCTTCTGGCTCCTTGTCCTCTGCTTCCCTCATGCCCTTCGGAGGAAGCAGCTGCCTGGGCCCATGGTTGAAAGGTCTGGGGTATCAGAGACTGAGTTGTGTGCTCTGAGGTGGGGGTCATTCCCCACTTTCCATGAGATTGATGAAAAATTATTAAAATTATTTGTCTTTGCAATTACACTGTAAATATCTACAGGAGTGGGCAAATATAGACAGAGGTCCAGGCAAAGGTCTGGGGTATCAGAGACTGAGTTGTGTGGCTCTGAGGTGGGGGCCATTCCCCCCTTTCCATGAGATTGATAAAAAATTATTAAAATTATTTGTTTTTGCAATTACACTGTAAATATATACAGGAGTGGGCAAATATAGGTTTACAGCTGTGAATACAGGAAACAGTTTATTCTTGTATTATTATTATCCATTAATTACTGTATTATATTCTGTATAAATAACTATAAACCTACTTTTGCTATACCCTGTAGATAGATCTATAATAATAAAAGCTTAATATGCTAATTAGACTGGACAGCTGAA